CTCTCTCTTCTTCTTCTTCTTCTTACTTTTCTTCTTCTTCTCTCTCTCTCTCTCTCTCTCTCTCTCTCTCTCTCTCTCTCTCTCTCTCTCTCTCCCGCCCTTTTCCTTTTCTCCGCGATACTCCGCGATACATTCCATATCGGTGCACGGTGGAAGATGAAAGAACGTTTCTTTCATTCGTGTATGAACAAAATTTCAAATTTCTCGTTTTTCTCTCTGAAGAATAAAGAAAAGGAGACTCTTTTCACCTCGACTCCAACGTCACTTTCCAATGATAATAGTTTCATCGATAATTTCGTCGCTTAACGAGTCGTGTCAAATTTTCACGGAATGATCGCAAAGATGGTCGAAACGGATGATCTTTGCTTCGATACGGTCGAAGGGAGAAAGGGAGAAACGGGCAGGAAACTTTGTTGTTGTTGCGAAATGTTTTCTCTTCGAGAGAAAATTATCTTTCGACGAAAGGATCGTCGACGGAGAATTCGTTTAATCGTTAACCAGGCTTGGGAATGTTTTGGCTTGGGAAACGCCCCGTTTCATCCCTCTGCCCTTCTCCTTTCTCTCTCTCTCTCTCTCTCTACCTCCTTCTCCTTCGCATCCCTCCGCCCGTCTCCTAACCCTTCTTCTACTCCCGTCTCGCCAACCCCTTCCCACAATCGAATGCGTTTCATATTTTCCGCAGAGTCAATCGATCAACTTTACGACTCGAAGCGACAAGCTTTCCATTTTTTTAAATTAAACCTACGCGACACGTGATATCTACATACACGTGCGATCCGCATCCGATCGAATTTCGACGTTTCGTCGATCGAACGAACGAACGATCCCGCGTTGAAAATTTTGAAAAAAAAATCTACTAACTTTTGAACGCGGATGTCGATCAGACACGCGGCCTCGTCTTTCGTCTTCCTGGGCTTTCGTACGCGATATCAACCTACATCCTCCTCCCTCTCTCCAACTATCTCTCTACAAACTTCGATCTTTCGCGGTCCGATGACAATGCCGGACGATGTTAGAAACCTAGGACGAATCGGCCTCCCTTCTCGCGACACGTGATCGTAAAACATCTCATTGTCGCGATTCGATGATAAGCGTACCGCGAGCGAGCGACCACGTGGCGGCGATAGATCTGGATCAGGGTTACCGGCAACCACCGGCCTATATCTGACCCTCTTATTTGACCGACCGCGTATTACGATCAATCGCCTCGGCAATTCTCTACAAGATATAAGACGATATAACGCGATATTATCGAGCAACGCATCGATATCGCGTTGTTCCCCGTAATTAGATTCGCACCGAGGTCGACGCTTTTACGCGAGTTACGATCGCGAGGACGAACGGGCGAGAAAATCGCATTTCTCCCTTCCTCTCTTCCTTTTTTTCCATCCCTTCGTACTTCTCTATCTTATTCCCCCCCATTCGTCTAATAACTTTAAACGCGGTTTTACGCGTGCCGATACTCGATCGTTTTCACGCGAACCTCCTATAATTATCCCCCTTCATCCCCTCCCGCCTCGTTCCCCCTATCTCCTTTTTACCACCGCGTACATACGATCCATCTTTATCCGCCGCTACTCGCGCGTTAAAACATTTATCCGATCTTAATTTCGATTCGATCGACTCGTCTTCGAGCGAAATCCTTTGCAAATCCTTTTCTCTCTTGTGACATTCGTCTCGAACGTGGAATTTTCAACGAAGAGGTAAAAGTTGGAGACAAAAGTTGGAAATTAAATCCCAAGATTCTTTTTTTTTTTTTTTCTATCCCCGTACTATTCGTTTCCTTCCGCCCTTTTTATTCTTCGATCTTCGTTGCGTAAAGGTTTTTCCACTTCGCGTTAATACTTAGGCCGGGCGACATCTCGAATGGACGACAAAGAGAGACCTCTCTTTTCTTCGGTCGCACGCTCGAACACGCGCATCAAATTTACGAACGTATTCTTCCAGGAGATGGCTCGCGCTAACCTCGTTCACGAGCGATCGCGGTACGGAATAGAAGAAAAAAAGAACTCGAGACTCGTAGAGAAAATCGGAAAGAAATCAAAGGACAATATCTTCCCTCGAGATATTTATTTATTTTTTTTTTTCTTCCCCAGCATCGATCGATCAATCAAATCTTCCGTACGAGATTCAAAGCAGCATGAAGAGTGCAAAAACGTTGCAATAAATAGATCCAAGATCTAAGATCGAGAATTCGTTGTTCCATTTCTCTCCAAGTATCATACGCGCTTCTTTCGGACGAGACTCCGAGATTTAAAACGTGTATGCGTATTTAATATCCAGTGTTGAATCTCATCTCCTCCTCCTCATCGAGATGAGAATCGTATGAACCAGACTACTCCACCCTACTACACCACGGTAAAACGATTTCATCGGTTTGACCGATCGATAAAGTTTTATTTCATTTTCCCACCCATAATTCGCTTCGAACTCGAAAGTTCGATCGATGCGTAAAACTCGCAACGCAACACGATCGGATCGAAATTACGAATTTGCACGATGTTGTTACGATCGTAAAAATTTTGAAAACGAAAAGATTATCGGCTGCGAGTATCTCGATCATCGACCGGATGGATGATTAACGCGACATCGCGAAAGATGCGAAATCTTTGTTGTAAAGCGAGAAAATGGGAATGTAGATTGAGTGGTGTGTCGCATTGCGGCGCAGCGGCAAAAGTACCCGATGCACCGACCTCGAAAAGTGCGACACACGATGCTCTCGAAACTCGAGCGAGGCCGGACCAAAGTCGTACAACGCCCCTCTCGATTCATCGCTCGTGTCGCGCACGCCGCTACACTTTTACGAATATCCTAATATTTCCATTTTTCCTTCCCTACACCCCATCTTCTCCTTATTTCCACAACACGCACGAAATATTCCCTCTCACGCTTATCGCGTCATCATCCGGTTACAACTGCGGAAAGAGAAAAGGGAATACCGAATCGAGATATCTGTGTTTATATAGAGCAAATATCTCTTGTACATATAGATGTATTTTCTTCTTCCATGCACTCGTGCGGATAAGAGAGAGGCGATTCATCCAAATCTTCTTACTTTCCTCCCCCGCCTCCCCCCACCCCCCCACCTTACGATTACAAGTGGCGTAGATAGAATCGAATCGAAAATTGGCCTAAAAACTAGTCGCTTCCAACAACGTATCGTTGTCCATTTTCAACGTATATTTTCTTGAATCAAAATACGAAATGAAATTATATTTCGATAAAAGTTCGGACAAAGGGAATCTCGATAGATCTCGATAGAAAGATGAATCTATCGAATTGAATATTTCGTTTCGTAAGATTTGTACGAGATAGAACGCCTGATTCACGCTTCATCTTTCTTCTTCTTTATTCTTGTCTTCGAAACCGAAAAAAGAATTGTTCTTTCGTCGTAATAAATCTGGGAATCTGTAAAAATAAAAATCCACGAGATTAAAGATATCTCTTTAATGAGAAAACAGATCTAATCGGATACAAATTAAAAGAAGAAGATAAAATGTATCCTATGAAGAAAGAAAGAAAGAAAGAAAGAAAGAAAGAAATAGCGAGGAATTTCAGAGTAAATCGAAATGGTGGAAACGTACGTGCGTGCGTGCGTGCGTGCGTGCGTGCATGTTTTCGCGTATATCGGTTGGTCCATACTCGAAAGGTTAAACGAGTAGAGCCAAGAGATCGGTAGGTTGAATATCTCCTTGGTTGGCGTCACGACGCTCTTAGACGTCGGGGTAGCATCGAGGGTGTGGATGTCGTTGATTCCAGTAGGGGAGTCTCCGATTGTGTCTATGTCGTTGTTGGTTTGAGCGACGATATCGGTGTCGGTGTCGGTGTCGGTGTCGGTGTCGGCGTCGGCGTCGGCGTCGATGTTGGTGTCGGTGTCGATGTCGGTGTCAGTGTCAGTATCGGTGTCGATGTCGGTGCCTACAGGCTGCGTACGCAAGGGTAGGAAAGCAAAGAAGGTGGAAAAGAGAGAGAGAGAGAGAGAGAGAGAGAGAGAAGAGGAGGAGGGAGGGAGGAGGAGGAGGAGGAGGAGGA